GAAGGTAACTTAATGTTGATGATGATTGCACATTGGAACTTTTAGTTATAAACAGATTTTTTGCTACCTCTTGGTAGCACCTAGAGTATTTCTGGGTCAAGTTTTGATTCTTCTGGGCAACTTAAATTTGGTCAATTTTGATTTTGGATTGGCAGCATAACAGAAGAAAAAGCTGGTATGGGAAAAATATTTAGGTATACACACAAGCAATGAAGGAAAGATGCGCCAATTAACATTTTGTTGAACAGGGCTGCAAAGTGTCCTAGAGAACACATAATATGGCATATTTACATCGCAAAGAAGTAGCCAATTATTCTGATTAAGACTTACACATCTGAAAAGAAAAAAGTATTGGCATGTAAGAGTGAGCTATGTGCATTCATATCTCTGTAGGCTTGATGCTATTAACTTACAGAGAGGTAATTACTTATATTTTCTCTTAACCCTTTACACCCTAACATCAGTATGTATATTCTCCATACTGTTCTCCATACATTTTCAAAGAGGCTGACAAGGAGAATTTAGATGCCAGTCAGAGAATTAGATGCCAGTCAGTCTTAGGGGCTAAAGGGTTAACTGTGTGTACAAAGCTCCACACAGCTGTCTAGACTGTGTTGTGTTTTATTTTTACAACTTTATTGCTGTTTAATATCTGACAGGTAATTGCAAAATAAACTTAGAAGTAAACAAATAGAAGACAATATGAAAACAATAATATATTATATAGAAAATCAATACTTATTAACGAACTCGAGTTGAAAACAGAGAGCTGGAACAAACAAGAAGAGTGCATACCCAGTGAATAAGCTTTACATTACATTGTAAAGATATCTGGGTTGAACAGCTTATTGTAACTGTCAGTTAAACTGGCTTGTATCAAACAGATCAATAAATAAATAAGGCCTGGCAAAAATAGTTCTTAACCCTTTAACTCTCAAGATCTCATTAGTACTTCTCCTTACTGTCTGCCATATAGTTTTTCTGATATTAGTTTGGAGAATTTGGTGTTGGATCAACTTATAATTCCCAAATTAATATTTTCTTTATACTCATCACTTTGTCTGCTTGATATTGTAAGGAGAAATTCTGTCTTGGTCACTCATGGGAGTTAAAGGGTTAAAAAGATAATAAAAAGTAAGTAATGTTAGAGGATTATAATTAGCATCTTAGATTATTCAGAATGATCAACTATGGTGAAGGAAAGACCTAAATGTAATTGCTGACTGAGATAAAGCTTATAAATTTAGTAAGTATAGAATCTGCGTAACTGTTTCTGCTTTACTAACAACTTACAGGGAAATATATGAAAACAATACCTGTAAAACTTTATCATCCCAACACTTATTAATCAAAGCACTATTTAACTAAACTCCAAAAAGAAATTGTATGAGTGTGTATAGATAAACCTTGAAGCAATAAAGAAGGAAATGAGTCA